TTTTTTTTTTTTTTTTTTTTTTTTTTTTTTTAAGGTGGTTCGGTGGACCACGGATCAGATATCAGTTATTTAAACTTTTTTTGGGGTGAATGTTCAATTTCAATTTGGTGTGGAGTCTGTGGATGCCTGCAATACAGTGTGATTTCAGCTCAATCGAGTGCGTAAGTGTGATGATGATGGCTGAGGTACCCGACACGACTCGTACACAACATACTTGTGGTCGCAAGCGTGATGATGATGGGATGAAATTGATTGGCATTTCAGGAAATTTGTGACAAGTACCTGACGAGGGTCGTACACAGCATACTCGTTGTAGACTAGCTGCCTGTCACCGCCATCATTGCCGCTGGTCAGATCGACAAGCCTGCCAGCTGGCACCTTGACATCATCTTTCCACGTCTCAAACTCGTCTGGCTGTGGTCCCCTCCTCCCGACACCTTTCACCGATTGCTTTCCTTCCGGAGGAGTCGAGAAATACTGCCCAACAGAAAAAAAAGGTATTTGTGTATAATTATTAATTTGGCCAAATTGGGCATTTGCAGTTCAGTCCAATTAGGGAAAAAAGAGAGTCAAAGAGAGAGTCAAAGAGATGAAGAGGAGAACACACAACAGTTCAATATCAATATTCTATTATTCATCAATACAAATCTACAAAATCAGATGTGAAGGAAGAATAGCACAACGTGTGAGGCAATCGATCAGACAATGGAACGTAAAAAACACAATCACAATTCGTGTATAAGGATAACACAACGTGTGAGGCTTTACTCTGAGACTCGTGGAGGACACCACAATGTGCAAAAAAAACTGAACCCAGATGGGAAAATACTAAAATAGTAAAATACTAAAAATACTAAAATAATAGTAAAATAGTACAATAGTAAAATAGTAAAAATACTAAATAGCTTAGTGGGTCTGCCACGCCAGAAGTCGTGGGATCAAATCCCGTTGTTTTCCCGGGAGGTATGGTTGAGCGGCTGAAGGCATTGATTGGTTTGCTAAATCAGCATGCAACAAGATTGTATCAGGGGTTCAAAATTTCAAATCCCATTTCCTCCGTTCCATCGAGAGCGTAGTTAAAAAGTGGTAGAACGGATGTTTTGGAAGTATGAAGAAATGCAGCACCTCGAGCGATGGTACAGAAAACAAAGGGGAAAGAAAATGAGAATGAGGGGATACTATTACCCGTCAATTTTCATTCGCCTTTCATTTATTCCAGTGCCCTGCATCAGAATGCACGTGCACGATTACATCGTTTCTCACAACAAATAATAATGCACCTGGCAGCCCTACCCATCCAAGTTCATTCTGACAGAGATGTTGGAGCATATGAGCAAATCTGTGCGGGTATCCAAAACTTTATCGGAAGGACCTGCCCAAACACGGACTGAGAACAGCTGATAAAAAAACAAAAAAAAAAAAACAAAAGAACACAGCTGATTTTTGAGTTTTGCCGCTAGAATGAATTACCTGCTGAGATTCCCTTCCCGCTTCCTGCCGGGTTTCATAAGTCTGTGTGTGTGCGTGCTTGGTGGTCTGCGTGCCTGTCGGAGTGCTTGTCGGCTTGAGTGTGTGTGTGACCCGCAAGGGTACCTGCTTGCTTGAAAGGTCCCGTAGGGCCGGTAATTCTT